AGCCACCGCCATTGATAACCCTACGTCATAATCGAGAGCACGTGCCATATATTCCTGTCTTTACTCATTACTAACTATTGGCATAGCTAGGAGGTGGTACGCCGGACACTTGCTGCTCCCAAAATGTCTTTCTGCCTTCACACGCGGAGTACGAAGTGAGGCGTGACCACACTTGACTGTCCTGTCCCTATTTCGGATCAAGGACACGCCCCCACCAAAAAAATAGTTCAGCTGCATGCATTGTGGGTTCTGCGCAGCTCCATTTGTCCCTCTTCATTGAGCAACAGTGTCAGCTTATGCTGTTTGTTAAAACCACTGTTGTGTTCTCAAAAAGTTATGCTAACACTTTTCTGCTGAATAATATGGAGTGGCACTGATTTTTCTTATTTCTTTAAATCCTTATGGTTCTCCCTCACATGCTAGTCTGGGTTAAATAGTGAAATTTTCAAACTCTTGTCACTTCCTGCTCAATCTGTGCTTTGCAGGCTCCAGTTCAAGTAGTTGGGATGCTGATCAAGCAGTAGTAGCTGCCCTTCACAAAAGAATAGCTACATTGGAAGAGTGCTTGAACAACATGAAGCGGAAAGTTGCTGCACTGCAACAACAGAAAAGCAGAGCAAACCGTAGAAACCATGAACTCACGCGAAACATCAAGAAGTACCTGTCACCAGATCAGCTGCAAGGCATGTGGACTTGCAGTATGCGAGAGAAGCAATGGTCTACAGAGACTATACAGAAAGGCCTCAAGCTCCGTTTGGCATGTGGATCCAGAGGCTACAATGCGGTCAGGGAGCTTGCTGTACCCCTTCCGAGTGAAAAAACTTTACAACGTCGTGTTGAAAACTACAAGTTCTCACCAGGCATTCTACATGAGGTTCTGAAGTCCCTTGCTTTAAAGGGGAAAGGATGGTGTAGCTGAATACATTTGTTACATTTATTCTCGTGAGCATCTCTTTCAGCAGTACACCTTGAGCAAAAGGTGAAACCTTTTCCAGAGCCTTCCACTATGGCATGTCTCATGATTGTATCATGGTTTTCGCACGTAAACCCTAATATTTATTAGGCTTTCATGTGTTGCTAGTGCCAGTGTTAGTGCCTGTCACTGTGCTCTTTGTCGTGCACGTTTTAGCGGCCACCGGCACGAATGCCATCGGTTTTCTTTACTCTTGTCATCGTGATGTGCACGTATAGCAACAAGTCACCGTTAAAACATATTTCATGTCATTTATTGTGTACACTGCATAATTATCATGTATGATTTAGGCAGTCCTGCATTTTCATGAAATGTTGAATAAATGTCATGTTTTGTGCCCTTCATTCAGTTTTTGCATAGAGCCCCGCCGCGGTGGTCTAGTGGCTAAGGTACTCGGCTGCTGACCCGCAAGTCGCGGGATCGAATCCCGGCTGCGGCGGCTGCATTTCCGATGGAGGCGGAAATGTTGTAGGCCCGTGTGCTCAGATTTGGGTGCACGTTAAAGAACCCCAGGTGGTCGAAATTTCCGGAGCCATCCACTACGGCGTCTCTCATAATCAGAGCGTGGTTTTGGGACGTTAAACCCCACAAATCATCATCATCATCAGTTTTTGCATAGAATCAACTGCACTTGAACTTTGGTGTTTATCAATAAAGTGGCATTATGTAATGGGGTTTCCTAATGAATACCAGGCCCTTTTGTTCGCTCGACATATATCATGCTTTTATGATGGCATATGCATAAACTTGTCATGCCATGAACACCCCAAGTATACGTGTGTACTCAATGCTGCCTTCCAAGACGCAGTCATTCTTATGTATTTACGCCAGGGAAGACCGAGGTGTGATGGATGTTGAGTGGCCTAGAGCCGGTATGTAAGGGTAAAACATTATTCTAAGAGAGATGTATTCTGCTGAAAATGAACGGGGACAATCATATGTGCAAAGAAGGAACTTCATGTAACACTGGACACAAACGGTATGGACCTCACCAGAACACAGAGGAGAAACATTATGCACATTATCGCACTACCCCAACCTCTGTCCTTGTGAAATGTGAGCTGTTAGTACCTTATAATAACAACCAAGTAGCTTGAGATGCGTTATTCTTTATGGAGCAAGCTATGCTTACTCATTTTTATTGATTGTATTTTAACACACCTATTAAAAAAATAAAGGCATGGACGAGAACATAGGTAGAAAATTTCATTGGACACATGCTGGACTAACAACTGCAAGTCTCCAATTGGAATATGTTTTGCAGCAATCGCAAATGTTAGTATGGTCGGGCTGCATGCACCCATTGTATGCAGATTTTTAGGTCCTGTCGAGGAGGTTAAGCTCTCCAACACGTTGGCAGATAGAAGAGAAATGCAGGATAAAAGGACAAAGTTCAGTCGTCGTATATGTTTTATTTGTTGGGTTGCGCATTCAGCTGCTAGAGAGAGATGCTAAAAAGCACTATGCATGCGCGAACGCTACCTTTTTTGTATTTTTCAGATAGTATTTTGTTTGTTCACCGCCTGTCTTACGTAATACTTCTATTGGCTCTATTGCCTCCTCAGCTGCGCTTTCTTTTTTTTCCAATATGAGCGAACTCACCCAGTTTTACACTACTTTACATATCAATATACCTTCTATGCGGACTGTAACAAGCCACGTCTGTCAATATACGCACACGATGTGCAGTAGTTGTTTAAATTACTGTACATCGAATAATGCGAGCAGCATATAACCTCACAGACCGAAGAAAGAATCAGCATGACCATGTGACCTGATTTTGTCAGCACTTGCCAGTAGTATCACATGGCCCAACTCGCCCACGCAGTCGCTTCATGCAATTGACGGTGAACTCGAACTGGTCGGCCCCGCGCCGACAACGTATATCTGAGTCTTTCCTTCGGCTGCGCACGGCGCTGTAATTAATATTGCTGCGGCGACCTTTTAAAGCTTTCGGTACCTACGGTCCAAGAAGAGCGTGCCAAAGTCATAGTTGCTTTCGTAGTTTTTTTTACAGTAGAAAGGTTGGCTTCTTCGCAGAAAACGCTTGCTTTGAAAACGTAGAACGATCCATTGCCTGTTTTGCGAGGGGTAGCTAGCTTTCTATTCCTTCGAATCGACCAACGAACGAACGAGTAATGTCACCACACTAACGATACAAAGAAATGTTCAGCGACGACTGAAATGCAAAGGAAGTGTACCGAATACGAAATACTGGCAACGCCGCACACACGCTGGGGCAGCGATGAAGAATCTCGGAACGATGGCCGCCGTAGACTTTGCTTCTGTGAAGCGAGGGCGCGCTCCCCGAACAGACGCCACCGGCGTACTCTTTCAGCATACCTGAGGCACGGCCGCTCGATGAAAAACGCACGGCGCAGCAGTGCCCGAGCTGCCCAAGCGTCTGGCACATCCAGAGCGCCCGCGTGCTTTCGCATTCGTAGTTTCCTGGTGGACACTCTAGAGGCGCTGCTGTGGCTGCTGGGAGAGGAGGTAGAGGCGAAGGGGTGCGGTTGGCGCTACTTTATTTTTCAGGGACTTTAGCACCAGCGAGACCCGGCTGGCATGCGCCACGCGTTCGTGCGCTCCGGCAACGAGGAAGAGGAAGATAGTTGGATCTGTGCCACTCGGCTACTCGGACATTACGGTGGCGCGATTTCGCACACTTAAAATCAGGCAAAATTTATCTGACCCTGCACTGACGGCTTCTCCAGAGTACAAACACTTGTTATTTCCCTGGCGCAGTGAACTGACTAATTCAAGCATGATGGAAGTTGTCATCACGAAATTTTGTTGCCGCATTACTTCCCTCCATTTTTACTTGCATAGATCAGGCATATTGAATTCCCCTATGTGCATTTACTGTAATCAAGAGGAAACGATCAGCCATTTCTTATTACATTGTCGCCATTTCGATTTATTCAGGCAAAGCATACTAGCACCACCTCTTCAAAGACTGGGCTTGCAACTATCACAACCTGATCTTCTTTCATTTGGAGCCTCTACACTGGGTTTCAGCCACAGGGATGTTTTATTCGCCGTTCAAGAATACATCACTGCGACTAAACGATTTTCTTGCTAAATTACTGTCTCACTATTTTTCTTCTTTTTTTCTGCAAACTTGATATCGGTATTTCAAATTAAAATTAGGTTACAAAAAATTTGTAGGAATGACGCATTGCTGAAAGTTTAGGGCAAATTCACCTTATTATCGGCCAATCCCCTTCTTTGGGTACGAGCCATTTGCACAGGGAAACAACAACAACAACCACTCGGACTTGACGACCATAGTCTTTAGAATCGTGGGCACAAGTTCGCCCTAATAAAGAGGCTTGTTTTTTTTTAACCTGCCTGCCTCAGCATTGCTACATTTCGGAGTGGAGATGCCCAGGCGTTCGACGAGGGTCTGATGATCTCTAGCTCCTGCATGTGTTCAAACTCTTGTCGTGCGACGTTCAAATTCTCAGGAGACAAGCGGCGAGGCCGCGCGTGCACGGGTGGGCCGCTGGTGACAATTTAGTGGCGTACCTCGTGCTTCGCCGTGGCGCTGCTTGGCGGCTGCCTCGGCCGCTCGGGAAACTCCTGCAGAATGCGAGTAAAACGTTCTGCACCAGACGGCCCGAGCAGAGTGGGGCTCAGCGGAGGATGTTTCGAGGGCTTGCCCTGCACAGTTGCCTGCGACACGGGATCATGAAGGTGGCGGTCGCGCACGTCGACGAGAAGGCCGAAACGCCGATGAAAGCCCACATCCAAGATGGCGAACTTCACTGCTGCCACGATGAAAATCTACTAAAACGTTCTGTTCAAGCCTAAATCCAGAGGCAGTGAGCGATGTCCGTAGGTGGCGATGGTTCTGTTGTTGACCGCCAGAAGGGGGTCGCACTGGGGACCCGGTGATAGGTGGACCCAACCGGCAACACGCTCACCTCAGCATCGGTGTCCACGAGGAATCGAAGACCACTGTGGCGGTCGGTGAGGAAAAACACTGATAGACGACGTTCGGGGCCCTCTGGGACACTGCTTGTCCTCAATGCCAGCCGCTCCCGTTTCCCGCATAGTCGCAAGGAGGGATGCATTTGCGAGCAGCACTGCCATGCCTCCTGTGATACCAGCAGGTTCTCTGTTGCGCTGCTGGAAGATGGCGCTCCACGGGAGTGCTGCGGGGCTGCGCCGCTGCGATGGTATCGGCGAAGCGGGATATCTGCTCCCGGATGTCAAGCAGTGCGGTTGTAGGCGCGTGGCCGGCAGTGTCTGGCTGTAGCGTCGCGACGGACGGTGGAGCGACTGCCAGAACAGAGTCCGTTAGCTCGGCGAGTTGAGACAGGCGTTTGTCGGCAGCCGAGGCGAGGACCATGCGCGCGTTGACCAGAAGTCGCTGTAGAAACAGCTCGCGAAGCAGTCTGCTGTCGGCATCGGTCGTGGTAGCGCCGACCGCGTGCAACAGCTGCCTCATGTGGCGCAACAATCGACTGGGCGTCCGGTCCCCTAGCTCGGTGTCGTGCAGTAGCTGCTGCAATCGCTGAGGCTCCGACGGCGTGAGGCGGCTGATGAGCAGCTCTTTGAGCGTGGTGTTCGCGTTCTCTGCAGGTGGAGTGACAAGAGTATCGCTATTTTCGCTCGCTATTGCCGATGGGAGGCTAGCGACCACGTGGTAGTACTTTGTTAGCTCAGCGACAATACGACGAGCAGTGAATTGGGACTCCACCTGCAGGAACCATAGCTGCGGGTCCGCTGTCCAAAACGGCGGGAGCCTGATGTCGACGGCGGAAATGGCCGGTGCGTCAGGGGGGGGGGGGTCTCCTTGGCGTCGATCAGTTCACAAAGGTGGTAAGCCTCGTCCGGGTCACCACTGTTGGAACGCGTGTACGCATGGTAGAAGGAGACAACCACGCGGCGTGAATCTCAAACGTCAACTGGTTTTATCCGGGTTCCGGAGAGCAGCGGAGGGTGGCACTGCCTGGCGGCTTGGCTCAACACCTTTGGCTTGGCTTGGCTGCCACCACGCTGCTTTTCCTTAACAATAAAAACAAATCTGAGGTAATAAAATGTGCCAGGCACAGGTCTACGCTTTTGCTGCACCATTTTAATCACTTTAAAAGACGGACAAAATGGTTTTCTGTTCAGGAGCAGAATACAGGAAGAAATAAGTGCAGCACACTTCTCAACGACATACTAAAACTGAGATTTAAGACTGTCAAGCATACTGTGTAAGAAATTTGGCGTAGAAATATGGTTATGTGGGTTACCATGGTAGTCCACAAATACGTTTTCCAAAAAGAAACACTATGTTGGCATCGCCGCAATGCATGAATTAGATGATGCAAACTTTTATCAACATGAATTTGTAAAGGACATCTGTAGACAGTTGTGTAGCTCACAATATTACCATGCACAAATAAATTACTGGCGAAGAAATTTAATGTTAGGTACAGTATTTACTGTATTTATTGTTCAGTACAGTACGTAATGTTAGGGACAGTAGAAGTCAACTTGGAGGGATTCGATAAGAATTTCTTATTAAACTTCGAACTCTGATAGCAGTCATAACGTATAACGATACTGTAGCTGTTTGAAATGGAGCGTAAAGGATAAGAAACTGCCTTATACACGTTCACTTCAATACCGCAAAATATTAACAGGCTTATACGCCCTAGGCATGATGAACGCCTAGAGCTAACAAACGCCCAGGAATTATTAAACAAAAAATTTGCCCCGTATCTGCAGTTATTCTGCAAATGTCGACGAAATACAATAGTCTTGCGTGTGGAGAGAGTGAACAAAACATTTTCTTGATGTTCTGCGCAAGAAAATCGGTGAACGGTATTCTTGAGGCGCTGCGTTAGAGTGCCTCGAGCGTGCGGTGGAGGCGAACGAGTGCACCAAGTCACATCATACGCGAGACATGAGCGCCATCTGGCAGTTTTGTTCGAAAACAAAGCGCGTGGCTCTGAGACGGGTGGGCGCGCTCGTCTCAGAGGTGATAAGGTGCAGAACGCGAGGTGACGGATAAGTGCCACCACTGTCTCGTTTTAGCAAAGCATTGGAAAGACACTCCTTTTCGAGCAAGCGTTGCATGGTCAGTGCAGCGTGATAAGCACTACGTCACTTAAAATTACTCTTGTATGTCTTTTCTATTAAAGGGCCACTCACCAGGCCCCATGCCAAATTTTAGTTAGACAGTGGAAGGAATTGGGTGTTCTACGAGAAACATTTTGCCACAAAATTGTTTCGAGTCGGTTCATCACGAGCAGAGGAAACAGGTTTTTTTTTGAAGCGGCACAAAACGAGGATGAAAGGAGGCGAACTCGAAACCCTTGCTGCTCCTCTGCACAGCCTTCGGAAGCCAAATCTCTTCCCCACCTTCTCCAGCACCTGACAATGAGGTGACGTGCGCATGACGTGCCCAAACAATCCCAACTCCCGAAAACGCGAGCAGGATTGCTTTGTTGACCAGAGTTATTTTGTGGTCTTCTGCCTGTTATTGCGGGATGGTTTGGAAACGCTAGCTTAGACGCGGTAGAGTTGATGAGCACAAGGAACGCGTGAACGCGTAGTAGCGTTCCACAGCGGTCGCCTGCTCAATGCGCTGACCACGGGGACACGAACGCATGCAAAACGCTGGCACATTAGCCTCGCATCTCGTAGCATTTCATGGAAAAAAAATAAAAAAAGCGCGCACAATTTTTTATGGCGTCTCAATATTTATTTCATGTTTTATTATTCTCTTAAAGCAACAAATACATAAACTATGCAAATAATTTTAGCCATGTCACGTGGTATACTGTTGAAACGTCAGAGCAGACTCGTCTACGTAGAGGACCAACGTCACTACATTGCCGTGTACGTAGGGCCATTCCTACGCCTACGTCATGCCCTCATTTTCTACGCGTGTGCCGGCAGAGGGAAGGGGGGCAGCTTTCATCTTGAAATTTGACCCATTTCCGCGGCAAGTAGCATTGCAAAGTTTGGCAGACTTGATCATGAACGCCTCGTCTACGCATTGTGCTTGCAGCTCAAAGTTGTCAAACCTGGTGAGTGGCCCTTTAAAAGGCGCACATGCAGAATATATACGTGTTGTTATGGTGCCCCAGACATGAGCAATAAGTGTTTTTGAATCGACAATTGCGCAAGTAGAAACGCTGAACCTTGAGCAACATAGGTGGGCACTGCAGATAGGGTTGGCCGTTTCAAGTACCCAGTGCTCTTAAGAATAGACAAACAGACAAATGTACAGACAAACAGACAGACAGACAGACAGACAGACAGACAGACAGACAGACAGACAGACCTGAACTTTTGCGTCTAAGGTCCCCAAGAAAGACCATCGTCTTTAAAATGCTGGTCACCCGCAAGCAGGGCCCCCCTTCAACACCACTGCCGATAGAGGAGGGTGCCGCCACAAACCTGCTTAAATCTGCCGCCCAATACCCGCTGCGCGGGTCTGCGCTCCCTTCTTCCCCCTCCACACAAAAGAAAAATTGCACCCGCGCTTATCTTCACTTAACTTTGCCGTTATTATGATAAAATGCTACAGACGAATGGGCTCGCCACGTAAAGAAAAGCTCACTTATCGCACATAATACGGAAAACGTGGTGAATTCGGCGATAAAGAGGTGCCGACAGCAGCAATGGCATCCGAGGAGTGCTCCACGATACAAAGCCACACGTCCTCGCTTGAGTATAGCGCATCTTCGTAATCCTGAGCACTGGCAGAACGCGAAGCGCGAACACAGCACGCAAGCACACTTAAAACACCAGAGAAATTGACTCCAACCGATACTCTTCGAGACGCTGTTATACAACACTGAGTTGAGCGGCGAGGGTACGCGTCCCAAAAAGTAAAATGGTTACAGCCGCACAGACGCACACCACATTTGCACACCCTAAATTTTCAATGCTGACTAGAAAACGTTATAAGATTACACTTATATGGCAAAAAATTATGTATATAAATCTCCAATATGTATACATTTCCTACAGTGTGGAAGCGCGCTATCTGTTTGGAATTGTTTCACCTGATTCATCAGTAAGAGTTACAGTTAGACTATAGCGGTTTTTACGATGTTCCAAAAGTGTTTTGGGTTGATTTGGAGCAATGACAGAAGTGTATCATTATAAAAAATAAACTTACTTTCCTGTGAAGCACTGGAGTATGCTCTTGCTGCGGTGGTATAAGTCGACCACTTATCAGATGACGATTTCTTTGCGGCACAAAACAAGCCAACTTTTTTTGTTAGACAGCCGGTCAAGGTGGTTTGTGTACTATGGCGAGTTGAATGAATGATAAACTTTCCTTTGAGAGATATGCTTTTTTAATGGATGCAGTACTTCGTTTCTAAAATGCGCCCATATTAGATGTTAGCATCATTGTTAGAAACACAAAAGGTGTCAATAAAGAAGAAAAGCTCGGTGTTGATAGCGTAAAAGTTTTCCTTACTATAATCGTTTATAAGTTTAACGCTATTGCTCATTTTACTCTTCGGTACAGAAATTTTGAAAATCACCGATGGAAGTGTATTTTGCTTTTCCAGTGAATGGCAACTGATATAGCGATAAAGAAATAAATCTTGGATAGCATGTAAAAGTTTAAATAGGTGCAAAATTTACGCAACATGAACTTGATAATCTAAACCATGAGGAAAATTAGCAAATCACTATACCTTATGCAGCCACTGCATGCTTAGACCATATATCTCTTTATAAGTACCCTTGAGTGACCACAGTGCGCTACGTAACTCTCATTGATCATCTTAGCATCGCTGGCGTCGTCTGGCGGCAATACACGTTCGGAGGGTTCCCCTTCGAAGGGGAGTCAATGTTTAAAGCAGCGCCCTCCTCTCTAGCAATGCATTGTATGCGTGCACATTCTATGCACTATAGTACGGGACAGACTTCTCGCACTGACTTATAGGGGACAAGAGGGGGTGCGCCCGCCGTGTGCCCCTCGTGTGCACGCCTATGCTGACAGACTCCGTTTCATACATCAGGCGCAACGCTGTGAAAGCCATGGAAGAAGTTCGGCCAGAAACATGTGCAACTTCGCGCGTCTCGCGAAGTTCCACATGTTTACAACTTTCATCGTTGTAAACCCTCGTGCGAGACGAGCACAAACGCACCTGCAGAGCATCGCGAAAGGCTACAAGTAAAACATCAAAAAATAAAAACCAAGAGAAGCCGTATAATGGTGCGTTTTCATTTCCGACGCACAAAGCAAAAATAAAAAATTATACCATGTCTCAGAGGCAAAAATAATCGTACTAGTTCTTAGTGCGAATTCATTCATTGCGAAAATTCTCGCTAGCCTTCAAAGCATTGCTCTTAATGTAGGACACAGGGTATAAGAAAAAAATATTTGTAGAATACATGAACAAAAGGTTTGAGGTGTAGCTCTTTTGTGGGTGCCGTCATAATCCTTTTTGATTTTCTCCCGCCCTCCAACTAAGTGCGACGCTGAGTTTAATGGTGGTGCTACTCGATAATCTGTGTGTTCGTGTGATTTCGTCACATTTGAGAATCTGCTCATGCAAAATTGAAAAATTTCCTAAAGCAAATGCTTCGTGGGAGCTTAGTTCACCATGATA